GGCCTTGATTGGATTGCAACTCTTCTGGTTCATAGTCTGATGTCCAGAATGCAGAGATTCAAGCTTCATAGTGGGATGGGAAACAGAGACTAGCTCTGTGTGCAAGAGGAGAGGAGCAGGTTGGGAGGACAGCTGGTTAGTGTCTGCCACTGACCTCTACACCAAATCCATCTAGCTCTCCTGCAGCTGCTTCTCTGCAGATATGAGTTGGAAGATTAGGTCTGGGGAAAACTGAACAACCACCTGGCCAAAAGGTATCAAGGGTCATAAAACCCCACGGCTAACAGGTTAAGTGAGATGTTTCCCAAGAAGAGATGTGTGCAAAGCGTAGGACCCCACAGGATTCCAGATTTCTGACTCTGAGCACTGTATGCAGAACCAATCAGAAAGTGACATTTTCAATCCTTCCTTTGAATCTGGCACTGTTTGTAGGGCCAATCAGAAGATGCTATTCTCAATCCTTCATCTACAGGTGGCACAGCCAATCAAAACACACTGTTCCTGATCTTTCATTTACATCTGGCTCAGATTAAGTGGCAGATGACAGGACAAGTGTCCCAATGCCTTATTTGCGTGAGGTGAGGTCAACCCTAGTATTTTGGTCACTAAAGACTCCTTTTGTTATATCCTCAGGCAGTCTGAGCCTCCTCACCAGCCTGCTCTCACCCTGTAGAAAGGACCTTTTTTCTAACTTCAACAAATGTATGCCCTCACTGCCCTTTCTGTGTGTCTCATCTGATTCTTTGTTGGGGACACCAAGCACCTAGAAGGCAGCCCCTGGAACCTACCACCTGGTATCAGATGGTGTCTGCTCCCATCCGTGCATGTGCTGCTGAGCTCATTTGCAGTTCCATGTTGGAGCATGGGATTTTGGGCTGGGCTCTTTTCTGTTGACACATTGGCCAGTGCACAAATGATGGCTGGGGTTGCCTCTAACTCTTACTTAATTTTGAGCTAGCATCGTGATGTGCAAATGTAATGCTTAGTTGTATGCATAAAGAATTCTAATTTGGAAAAGCAATAAAAAAAGCCCTTTGATAGCGAAGGACCTTTATTCCTTGGAAACCTACCTGTTCTGATAAAGCAAAACTCAGCACTGTCCTTTACAGAACAGCAGGGAAATGAATTAAAATTGCCTGTGTGTTGTTTCAGCATAAGGCTCATAAACCCTCAGCTAAAATACAATGGTAAACATCGCTGTTCTCTCCAAAAGAGAACAGTGTCAAGTTCTTTCATGTTAAATCCTGTTACTTGGTTCACAGTGGTCCCCATGACTGGTCAGGAACTCACCATCAAAGGGAGACAGAAGTCAGGCAGTTGCAAATACTTACAGTGGCCCTGAACTGTCATCTAAGCTGGCACCCCACAGCCCCAGAACAACTGACTTTTGGGGCTGGATCTTTGTGGTGGGCAGCTGTCCTGTTCACCACTGGATGTCAGTGGCATCGCTACAGCTTTCCTACCAGAGGCCAGTAGCACCCCCAGTTGTGTCAACCTCAGATCCCTCTAGACATTGCCAAATGCCCCTGGGGAGCAAAATCATGCTGAGTTGAGAATTACCCATCTACATGTCCTGGGTGGACAGTGTAGATGTGAAGGCCACTTTTCCTGTACTGCAGGGAGCTTGTGGATCACCAGGCACTGTCCTTTCTGACAAGGCATCTGAACACACCTCAGCTGCGCATCAAGAAGTGTGGCTAGGAGTTTCAAGCTGCCCCTGTCCCTCGCCCCCACTCCCAGGCAGAGGCTTGGGCCAGCGGGATGGGGTGCGTCATTCAGGTGGTTCAGAACTCCAGCAAGATTGACGGGAATGCATCACACCAGGCTGCATCCAGAACAGTGCGTCCTGATGGACTCCCCAGGGCGTTCCCCTCTGCGGGCCTTGGCTGGTAGAGGATTTGTCAGAGGCAGAACTGACCAGTGGCAGGGGGTCACCGCTGTGGGAGGAGAATCTCTGGGGTTCTCTGTCCCCACCGCCCTTATTCAGAAGAGAGCATCGCTCAGTGTGACTCTCGGACTTTCAAGCTAAAGCTTGCAGAGGGGGTTATGAGTCCAACTCTGCATCTGGTGTGTCCTCGTAGGTTTCAGTGCAACAGCAGCCTGGAGTGAGAAGCATTGGCCCCACTTTACTGATGTGGAAAACCGAGGCTAAAGTGGAGTCACTTTCCCAAGGACTCAAACTTTCAGTCTTTCGTGCCATGAACCCCCCGAGTCCCAACAATCCAAGTGTTCTTAACACGCTTGCAAGCTGCAGCTTCAGACTCGGAGTTAAAGAGGACAATTGGGACTGTGAGGGCCCCACAGTCACTTGCTATGGGAGGCCTGGGAGGTACAGGCTTTCACAGAACGTGTCTATCTCTCTTCCTCCCTTAGGCCGGACACCTTGGGGGGGTTGGGCAAGGGGACGCTGGGGGCTTTTGTTCTCCTGCACGTGGCAAGGGTGACACACGAGCTGTCCCCATTGCAGAGTCTGGCAAAGGTCTGTGCCTGTTCCACGTGAGCTGTGATGGTCCCTGCCTGTTTTCTTCCCCCGCTCTCCGATGCAGCTGGCTCCGTTCACCATAAAACGGTGGTGGATCTCTCACAGGGGACTAGGTCTTGTTTTTGTTTGCCAGAAATGTAATTAAAATCTGCATAGTTCACTGATTCTGGAAGGAAGATGAGCCCTCCGGATGGTGATGCAGCTCCTCCCCGTTTGTGTCCCCTCGGCCACCTTTGGGCACGCAGGGCTTCAAAGAGGGCTCTGTGCGTTGGCAGAGTCGTCAGTATATATTAGTGTAGCCACTTTTAACAAGACAAGAATTGGAGTTCAGTAAGCACAACAAAGTAAGTAGAAGGCAGGACCACATCTTTTGGACCGCCCAGAGGGATGGGAACAGTAAGACGTGCAGCACACAGCTGGTCGGCAGGGTGGGGCTGGAGCTGGGCTGGGACCATGCTAGAGACCAAGCTTTTAACATGTGGACCTAAAATCTAAACTGTAGTAACATGGTGGGGTATCCTACCAGCTTGGCTCTGGAGCTGACTTTATCAGGTTCACTGATCAATTCTGCGACATTTCTTAGAAAAATAACCCCCAAAAAACTCCTTTGGAAAAAGTACTGAGGCCAGGTGTGTTTGGGCAATGTCTTAAAAATTCCCCCAAACAGTAGCTCATTTGGGATAGAGAAGTCCTCTAGTGAAGAAATTATTTGTTGTATTGAACTGGTGATAATTTTTAACAATCTAAAATGGCAGTACTTAAAAACCTCCTTAATGAATATTGGTATGGGCAACATAGGACCTTTCAAAGTTGTCGTTGGTTTCTGTTTTTGCTTTTTGACTGTTCATTGAAGCCAGGGCCTTTGTACTAAGCTATATCTCTGTCCATTTAAAAAAATTTTTTTGAGGCAGGGTCTGGCTAAGTTGCATAATTTCCCAGGCTGGGCTCAAACTTGTGATTCTCCTGCCCCAGCATCTGAGATTGAGAAATTTTAAAGAAGGGAGTTTTTCTGTAGGATTTCTCTTCAACAATGCAAAGGATGTGAAGGAAACCAGGCTGAAGCTAATGGAATAGGGTTATAGGAATTCTGGGGAGAGATATTAAAGATGCATTCAACAATGGGGAATATTAAGGGGAAAATGTTTTCAGAGATTATTTAGGAGGCAAAATAATCAGAATCTGGGGGCATGAAAGATATGAGAAGAAGGAGTCAAGGACAACTTCCAGGTTTAACCAGGTAGGTGGTTATGCCACCAACAGAGAGAGAGGGGACGGATTTGACATGCTGAGTTTGAGGATCACTGGTGAGGGATCTGGTATGCAGATAGAGTTGATTAAAATCTGGTGCAAAGTACAGTCTCAGTACAGAGCTGGTAATTTGAACAATACTAATCAAGAGCACTGGGTAAGGGTGTCTATAAAATTAAGTGTCTTGGTCTGAAAATAGAGTTGTAAAGATTAACATTTAAGGGCTAGAAAAGAAGGAGGCACCCATAAAGAATCCTGGGAAAGAATAAAGTGGGATGAGATGATCCATGAAAATCAGAGACTTAGGGAAAAATCCCATGATCAGCAGAATAGTCTAAAAGTCAGGTGTGATGAGCTGAGGTATGGAAGACGCTGTCATCCTTGGTTCCCGAAAGCTCCCTGTTGTCTTCTGGCAGCAGTTCCAGAAAGGCAGTTGGGGTGAGGCCAATTTTAATGGGCTGAGAAGTGAATGGAAGTGAGTGGAGGGGAGTAACGAGCTCCTTTGACAGGTTGGGAAGAAAAAAACAGGGGAGAGCCAGCAAGGGAGACAGATCTGAGCCAGGAGCCCACTGAGGACAGGAGGCTAAAGACGCAGTCAAGGGAGGGGACAATTTATGGAGCAAAAAGAGTGAAAAAGGAATTAGAAAGCAAGCTGAAAAAAGACAAGTAAATGGCTTGGACAATAGTAGAGGGGACAGCTTTGGAAGGTGTAGTTAAACATAACCTCTTTGGAAGGAATTATGTCCTGTGGTCCTGAAGCACTGTCTGGCCCTCTGGAGTTGGCCCTTCCCAACCAGGCACAGAATATTACCAGGCATGTCTGTTGCTGAGGCATGAGTGAGCTCCCAGAGGGTAAGAGGATGAGGCTGATTTGCCTCTGGGATTGCAGCTCCTAGCCCAGGGTGTGTGCGGAGGAGGCACTGAGTAGGCTCCTGATTGGTGAATGGATGAGTGGGTGAGCATACCTCCTGTTTGTCTCCAAGACCTTGGAGTAAATTGGGTGCCGGGTGGGTGGTTGACTAGGGGCACTGATAGAATAAGGGGTGCTGAGATGCTCAGGATGAAGGCTGAGAAGGAGGCGGGGCTCCAACAGGAGCGCTGGTGGAGGATTGCATGCTGCACATCTGTGGTGGCAGACGTCGTCATGCCTGTAAATATGCCATGGGTGCCTGTGATGCATCCAGACTTGTACTGGGTTCATTTGGCCCTCAATAACCTCACAAAGCACGTCCCACTATCACAGTAATGTATTGCTATCCTTATCTTGCAGGCAAAGGATCCAAGCCTAAATTAGGTGAAATAATTTACCCCAGACACCCAGTGAGGCAGTGCTGAGCCGGGAATCAAGCAGTTCTGCTTGGCTCTTGGGCCTGTGCTTTTGGCCACCTCATTCCATACACGTGACATCCAGCAAAGGGACCCCTCGCCTGCCTCAGAATCTGTGCAAGGTTGGTCTCAGAGCCAAGACTATAGAGTGGACCATGACGTTTGCAAAGCTGAGTGAACAGATGTCAGGTAAATAGCTTGGATTGCTGCATGAACATGCACTAATAATGACCTTGTAGCAATGTTTTGGCTGTGGTTCCTTTGCATAGAAGCGTCCACAGGATACCAAGCTCATTTGATGCTCACACCGGCCCCGTGATGCTAGTATTAATATTCTCTAAGTTTTACAGACATGGCAGCAAGGAACATGTTAGTCATGCTCTGGTTACGTGGTAGGACTGAGAAGTCAGTGCATGTTCATTTCCTTGTTGTACAAGTGCTGGGGTTCTGGGAATGGTTTGGTAACGACAATGCCCTTCCCTGTGCAAAAGAGGCAGGTGGGGCATCAGCATACCACAAAGACTAGGGTAGAGGCCATGCCTTGTAATCTTGAGTAGGTGGGCTTACTAAAATTAAACCCTAGGGTTGGACTGTCTTGCTCACCTGGTCCAACAGCTGAAATGCGACTGGACACTGGGCCCATATGCGGAGGGGTCTGCCCAGCTTGGCTCCAGGACATGAGGATTGTTACCTAGTTCTGGGGTTCTGGAGTCTCCTTCCAGAGGTGGTCCCTAGGTTCTTCTTGTTATGAACAAAGGATTGAACAAAGCATTCACAAAAGGTAGCAAGGTTTTACATTTATTAAAGATGAGAAAAGAAACACTGCCAGGAGCTATGTGGAAAAGAATGATTTCCTTATATGAGATGCAAAGCTATAAAATATGAGAAAATTCTTAGAGGTTTTTGATGTGAAGCTTGCCTGAGGTTTCAGAACTCTAATTTGGGCTGAGATGTGAGTCCTGAAGATTCAGTTTAAAGCAGTATAGCAAGGACCTTCTGTACTGATAGGATTCAGGAATGCAGCGCTGTAATATCTAAGAAAATGGCAGAACAGGAAGTCCATGCTCAGATTCCTCCACCCCACTCCTGACATAGGTCACAAGATCCTCCTGTGAGAGGCGCACTCCCCGTGTCCTGAGAAAGGGGAGGCGTCCTGAAAGTCACAGGGTCCCGGAAAAGAGTCTGAAAAGCCTTGCAACATTTCTCTGTCTCTTACCATTTGATCAGGTGTGTGATGTGTGATCAAAATACCTAGGGTTAATGTTTAACCCTAACCCTATGTATTATAGTAAAAGACACTTTGCCATTAATGCTCTTTGAAATGAACTATTTCCCCCTCATTTTGAATACACTCATCCCGTCGTTCTTGTTGCTTTCTGAAGCAGAGCTGGAAGTCCTCCTTCAGGAGTGTTCCAATGAGCTGAGATAAAAATACAGCCAATGCTGCTGCCCGGTGCCACCCAACAGAAAAACATTACCCCGTGTCCTTGTCTACCTTATTCACTGGATCTGGCACTGGGCAACTTCTGTTTCTCCCTCAAAGTCTTGTTTTGGTTTTTGTTTTTGGTACCGGAGATCAAACTCCGGTCCTTGCACTTGGTGAGGCAGGTGGTAGGGCCTCTGAGCTACATCTCCGGCCCTCCCTCAACGTCAAAATGACCATGAAAGGTAAATATTTAGAATCAGTTCAGGACATCGAGGCAGCCACGACAGCACAGCTAAAGACACCGACTGAAGAGGACTTCCAGACCTGCCTCAGAAAGTGGCGATGAGGTAGAAAGGAGACAGAGGAAAGTCATAATTTATAAATTGTATTTTAAAAATCGTGACTTCAGGGGACCAAGTTATCCAAGTTTATCTATATCTGCGTTGTCTAGGTTTGTTTATGCTACTTTTCTTTTAGGCCCACCATACCCCAAATTCCTTAAAAGACACTCTAAGCTCATAGATTAGATTTAGTTGGTTTAAAAAAGGGGCAGAAATCTGATCTTAAGATAAAGGTGTGGATTGAGAGAGTTCAAAGAATATTTTTAGGCAGGACATCGTAGATCAACCCTCTTAAAAGTTAAGACTGGGTTCTGCCTTTCACTGTAAAATGGACCACTTTCTTTCTGTGGATGTGCTGTCCTTTGTCCTCCCTGCAAACCAAGACCAAGACAGAATCTCCTAGAGATTCACGAATTCCACAGATTCTCTCCAAAAATGCATAAATATCCCCAGCTTCAAACTGTAAGGCCTCCCCTTGTCTTTCCTTCCCTTCCCTTTGTTTCCTTCCCTCCTCTTCTCTTCTCTCTCCCTCTTCCCCCTCTTTCTCTCTCTGTATATATATATTTCTTTAAGTATATGCTTTTAAAATTATGCCGAATACATCCCTTTATGCCTCTTACTGACACATCATGAAAATTCTTTTTCTGTGATGAAAATCAGCACACCTCCAACCTGTACCAGGGGTGGGGTGAGCCAAGGTGTCAAGGACCCCCATCTTCACTGTGGGGACCTCTTTGGGCCCTGTCTGGTGCCAGCAAGGGTGATAGGCTAAGTGTGCTTGAAGAGAGGGTTACCGAAGGCAATGTCTTTTACTATAATAAAATTTATAATTTAGACATCCATGGCTATTTTCAACCCTCTTTGCAACTAGCCACTCTTCTGATTTATTGAAAAAGCTCACTTGTTTGTGTCTTAATTTTCCCCTGGGCCACACAAAACTGATAGAGACTGAACGAATGCACTTTTTGCTTGTTGACTGTCTTTTGTTACAGGGGCCTCTGTCATGAACTTTGGTGATGGATAAAGAAAAGATTGTGTTCCTTCCTGCAATACCTGGAAATACATTAATTTATATTTAATGAATAAACACTGTTTAAAAACCTCCAAAGCCTTTCTAGGCCTTTAAAAAAATCAGCTTTATTTAGGTGTGACTTACATATGACAAAATTGGCCACATTTACGTGTATAATCTGTGAGTTTGACGGCTGCACGTGGTCATGAATAATAATGACCGGTGTGACAAATAATCAAATTTCTCACAGCACTGTCCATCTTGTAGGAAGCTTCTCGGGATCTCTCTGCCTTCTCTAGGGCTTCCTCCATATAACAGTTTCATGCAGAGTCACGCTCTCGCTGAGGCAAGGGCTGCCTGGGAACTTTCCTTGCCATCAGCATGGACTTTTCTACCGGAGCCATACAGGAGGGAAGCTCGTCCGACTGCCAAGGAGGAGAGAGAGCATTCACTTGACAGCAGAATTATAAACTCAGATTCATGAAGTAGCTGGAAACACGGGTGCAGCTCCTCGCTGCTCCCCACCCCGCAGGAGCGGCCTCACCAGAGGGAGGAGGGGCTTCCAGAGTCTCAGTTCGCGTTTACATAACTCGCTCCAGGAGAAACTGCTTTCACAACCGTTTTACAGTCTAGAGCTGCTATTGCACCCATTAACTCATTTCACCTCTTCCTGCTTACCCGAAGCTAAACAGGCCCTCAGATGAATTTACTCAGAGTTGTATGGTAAAAATATTCCTCTCTGTGCCCCTGCCTCTCCCTCGCGTGGGGCTCTCTTCCCCACGGTCCCACTGCCTTGGGGCTGGAGATGACTCGTGATCATTCTCCACGCTGCAGTCTCTGTCCCCACTCAACAGCGGGTGCCCGATGACCCTGGGGTCTCACCCAACAGCAACTCGGTGCTCTGGGCTCTGCAGCCACGCCCCGCTGCTCAGGTTGGGATTTGGGGGTGGGAAGAAGAACCCAGAGGGGTCCCGAGAAAAATCTTTGCTGTCTTTTTCTAAAGCCTAATTGTGTGTTGCGGGGCAAGTCCTTAGGTGGGTACAGTGGAAGGCAACTTGCCTCCCCAGCTCTTTCACGTCTGGGACCAGCCTAGCAGGGAATGGAGGATGAGTTATGCACATCCCTGTGGCAACTGCCTTGTGAAACCAGGATCACCCTGTTATATCAAGGCCCTGGGGGGCAACGAGTTAGGAACCAGAGGCCCTGAATCCCGGAGCCAACTGTTGTGTCGATCTGCTGTTTGCCCTTGAGCAAACCTCTTGCCTTCTCTGATCTGTAATTATATCATTTCTGGGAGGAAGCAAGTTGGTGATTTATGGATGTCTTCTAGAACTGACATTTGAGGACTCCATGGGCACCTAAGGGGTGAAGACATGGGAAAGTAGCCTGTCATGGCTTCTATCTAGATGCCCGCCCAAAGCCTCATGTGCTCATGGGTGGGCACTGGGCATGACCACATCATAAGTGTGTGATTCTGGATCATGTGTGTGTGTGTGATTTTGCATCCATCCACTGATGGGTTTAACACAGTTCTGGGTGTAGATGATGGATTTGCAGAAGAGGGAAGAACACATCCTGGGTGTGGGTCAGACCAACCAATAGGCTTGAAGCCTGGACGGAATAAAAAGGGAAAGAGGGAGGGCTCACTGCTTCCCACCTGGCCTGCCATGGACTCTCCTCTGCTGTGCCATCCTGCCTTACAGCCAGCCGACTTGGACTGAAACCTCTGCAAATCATGAGCTAAAACAAACCTTCCCTCCTTTAACTTGTGGGTGTCGGTGCTTTGTCTCACCAACAAGAAAGTAGCCAAAACATGGCCAGCCACGTAGAGCTTGAGTAAATGATCTGGAGGGAGGGCATCTACGTTTGTGCTTTGTGATGCAGAGATCTCAGCAAAGCAGCACTGCCAGTCCCTCTCCTCCATGTACTTCCTCTCCCCTTGTGCTTCCTGCCCTAATTTAAGCCCCAGTGGGTTGCCCCGGTTTGGTACAAGTCAGTATTTGTGGAGGACAAGGAATCAAATCTCGCTCCACAAAGCCTGTCTTTTCTAATCTCTGCCTGCAAGGAGGGATTAGGCTGCCAGAGGCACAGGCTGCAGTGAAGAGAATCAGGTGGAACAGGGAGGCATAGAAAGGATAGCAGCACCTTAATGGGTGAGAGCTGCTACTAAATACTAATGGCATATTAATAATCAGAGAGCCAGAGACATGGCTATTGTCTCCCTATTCTACTCCACAGGGGGTGCCAAGGACAGCTGCGGAAATGTGGTTTAGCTGTGTCCCCTGGAAGCCCTTCCTCCTTGTCATCCTGCCAAGAACAGGCGTGGGGCCGGGAAGCTAGAGCCGGCCCCAAACCCACACTTCCCAGCTGAAGACAGAAAGCCCCGAGCTGCTGTCCTGCGTCTGTTCATTCACTCATCTGCTCAGTGAATGTTCATTCAGTGCTGGCTGTGTGCTGGGGGCCTGGGCAATCCTCAGGGTTCTATAAGGTGGGGCACAGAACCTCATCTCCTGCCTGAAGGGTTGACATGTGTGCTGGGGGCCTGGGCAATCCTCAGGGTTCTATAAGGTGGGGCACGGAACCTCATCTCCTGCCTGAAGGGTTGACATGTGTTTCTGGGGAGGTGATGGGGGTGTTTTAGGAGCTTCCTGGGCGTGGATGACCGTCACTGTTTGTGAAGTCACGCCTACTGGGATGCACAGGTCCGTGTATCAGGCAACTTTGCATCTGTGGGGCAAAATATCTAACACGCCATATTTCAAGGAAGAAAGCTTTATTTCCGTGCATGGTTTCAGAGGTTTCAGTCCATGGTTGGCTAACTCCAAAGAAGAAACATCATGGCAGAGAAAAGCTGCTCATCCACGCTGCTGGACACAGAGAGCATGAGAGGGCCAGAGAGAGGAGGGGCTGGGGACAGGATCTGTCCTCCAAAGGCATAGCCCACCTTCTCCAACCCCTCTGTGTGCTAACAGCACATTCAGCTATGACGTATGCCGTGGGTTAATCCACCCATGAGCGCAGTGTCCCCTTGATCCCACTACCTTTCAGTGCTTCACCTCTGAACTCATGGAACTTTGGGGGGACATTTTTGATCCAAAGCTTAGCAGCTGTGTATGTTGAATGGTGAATGAGGAGGAAAAGGCAGAGAGGTTGCTGGGGCTGGGGCCATGTGTGAATGACTTGCTTCAAGGCACCAGGGGGAGGTGGGCTGGGAGGAGTCAGGAGGTGGTAGTGTGCGTTCCCTGCATCCCAGGGGCTTCCCAGAAGGGATAGGAGATGGGAAAGAGGGATGGGAGTGGAGTGAACAGAAGGTGCAATGGGAGCCCTGGTGGCGTGGAGGAGTCTGAGGGCCCCGGTTTCTCGGGCCTCTCATCAGAGTAACGGGCAGAATCTTCCATCCTACTGCCGTGTCACCGCGAGGTGCCCTTTCCCTGCGGTGCCAGTGTTTGAAGGGGCTGCGGTGCTCACTTCGTGGCCCTCACCCAGGTCTGTCTTTTGCCGTGGGGTCTCGGTCACTAAAGGTCCCCCCAGCTCATGAAATGCTGATCTCAGCAGTTTCAGGCAACTAAACAATAGCCAGCGCTCGCAACCATTTTCCCTGACGCAAGCACTGTTCTAAGCTTTTCCTATGCACTGTGCTCCTAGCACAGCCATTTTGTAGGTGAGGAAACTGTGACATAGACGGGGTTGCCTACAATCACACTGCTGGGAACTGAAACCCGGGAACCTGCTCCCAGACGTCGCCGGGTCAACCGTGACAGTGTATTTCCTGGTACAAAACAGATGCGCTGCCGCACGAGCTTACGGCCTAGTGTCGGAGAGAGATGGAAAATCAATGAACCGATGCAATAAATCACTGTCAGTTGTACAGAAGACCGCTGTCCAGACAGGAGATGGTCTGAGGCTCCCTTTGGGTAGGACAGGCTGAGGAGGGAAAGCCTGGGTGAGACCTGAGGAAGGGTTAAGAGGTGGAGCAGAGGACGGCGAGGAGCTGGAAGGTGCGCAAAGCTGACCCCAGGCGGTGGCGGTGCAGAGGGCAAGGGGGTGGAGGCACCTGAGCTGGGCACATTCGAGTGGTTCTGAGACCCTGGGGCCTCAGGGTGGCAGCTGGCAGCTGATTAGATGCCACAGACTAGGAGAGAGAAGAGTCACAGAGTGGCCCAGCACCTGGTGCTAGTGGAGCCAGGCTGAGGCCAGGGGGAAAACACTGCTGAACATGATCCAGCTCAGGCGTGATACTTGTTCCTGGTGAAATGCTAATTGTAGGGCAAGGGACAGAGCCAAACCTGGAGCTTCTTGGAGCATCAGAAAGCCAGGATGTGCTCAAAAGAAAACACACAGCAGCACCGGGTATGGTGGTGCACGCTTATAATACCAGCCCTTGAGAGGCTGAGGCAGGAGGATTTCTGAGAGTTTGAGGCCAGGCTGAATTACATAGTGAGACCCTGTCTCCAAAAAAAAAAAAAAAAAAAAAAAAAAAAAAAAAAAAAAAAAAAAAAAAAAGGAAGAAAAAAAATAACAAAGGAGAGAGAAGAAAACCCACAGCAATGCAGGTAAAACAAAGGGACACAGGAGCCAAGAGTGTCCAATGTCAGAGTTGCAACAATGTGAGCAACAGAGTAAATAAGGTGGTGTTGGATTAGAAGCCAAATGCTGAAATTACTACCCATGAGTCCACATGGACGCAAATGCACAGCTGGATAAATGTGTAAGTGGGATGGTATGGAGAAACGCCACATGCAGAATTCCCCAAAATTTATGTAGATCTTCTGCTCCTTAGAAGACAAAACCCAACTCTCCACTCTGTAAGGGTGGGTAGCACGCAGTGACTTCCTCCTGATGAGGACAGTGTGGAAAGGGGACAGGGAGAATGAATAACTCGGTAACATTACTGAAAGCCTAAAGAGCACTACCTCTGGGGGATCAGGCAAACGTCAGCAGGGACCAGTCAGAACGACACACAGTGTGACCGCGGTGATCGCCGTGGTCTCTCCCCTGGTCTGCTCACTCTACAGAACTCCGGCCTGGCCTTCCTCAAAGCCGTCCAGTTCATCCAAAACAGGGAAAGCCTTAGAAACCATCACAG